TTAATGTATTAAATGTGCTATGGAAAAGGTATTATTCGTACTGCAGTCGAGCGTTCTCTAATGGCCACCTATCCAAGACAATCTCCTGTACTAACGACGACTTTTCACTTTAGAAAAGGGAACCCAAAAAGCCAACACCGCTACCAACCAGCTTGCATCCCTCCTATCTCATCCAAACATCTCCATAGACACAAAGAGACAGCTAATTACCTCAATATTCATATCAACATTATGCTGCCAGTGTCACACCTGGACATTAACTAAAACCCATGAAAGCAAAATCACCGCATGCGAAATGCAATATCTCCGCAAAACCCTTAACATCACAAGACAGGACTGGCAGAGAAATGAAGAAGTAAGAGAAGCTATCGGCTTGAGTCCTGCCTGCATTAAGTAGAAAGACAGAGAATAAAATGGTTTGGCCCCCTGTCACGTATGTCACCTGGCCAACCAGCCTCGAGAGCCTACAACAACAAGCACTCAGGCTATAAAGGAAGAGGAAGGCCACGCAAAAGGTGGATCGAGGGTGTCAAGAAAACCCTGACAAAACATAATATCACAACTGAAAGAGCTGCGGAGCTGGCCTACCATAGAAAACTGCATCTCCCCTCGACGCTTAACGACAACAGAGGATGAAAAGGCAAAAGTTAGTAATGAAACTTTCTACGACGTCCGGCTGAATAAGAGAATCACTTTTTTCCTCGACAATAGGTGGCCATCTTGAACAATTTCAACTGTATTTTATCGAAAGCCGGTGGCAGTTGTGCAGATACCAATCCTTTAAAACACCAAGTTTTAACGATATACATATAGGCCTACTGAGGTAATGAGAGATAAAATGAACACATCAAAGCTGGGTAGGAAAGCGTTAACTCTAGCCAGCGTTGCTTTACACCCTGTGCAAGAACGCGTTTCACTAATATCTGATGGAATCTTTAAATTGTTATATACGAATGAACAGACAGGATCATCAAAGGTAGAAGATGCTTCTACACACACATAAATGCAGTCTTTGGAAAGATCTTCGTCCCTGGGTATGTTCAAAAAATCATTTTCGATAACTGGGCAGGACACATTCTTCGGACTTGATATGCTATCGTTTAGAGTGTTTTTCATCGCAAACATCATATTTTTCTTAGAGCTGTCAGGTGTTGCAACATTCATCGAGAACAGTAAACAGCTCAGTGTGTCTAGAAGACGTGTCTTTAGATAAAAAGCCTCGTGAGCCAACATTTTCCAAATTATTGTTAGCATGGTTTGGGCCCCCTTACCTCTCATACTAGAGGTTTCCTGCTCACGTGTCCTCTTATCATTGAAGGCGACAGTTCGAGTAACGACTTCTAGCGCATATCCTTTTTGTACCAAGTCACAACCAATCCAGCGAGCTATTTCATGAGCACTGATTGAGCAGTTTGCCTGATGCCCTGGCACTGCCTCTAGACAAAACAAATTATCAATAGGTCCATCGTTTGATCCAATTGTCTTCAGAGAGGGTAAGGTAAAACTGAGCGCCACTTCGCCTGAATACGTGCATTTATCATTGTAAATACCTACCAGTTTCCTATCCTTGACAGAACGTGAATCTCTACAAGCAATAGTCTTACATCCTGTGCCAGGTGTAGGTCCACAAATCTTTCTTGTCCAAGTATTGATTTGGGCCGATCTGGTGAAGAGCACCCCACCATCCTGAATGAGTTTCATTGATAATGAAAATCGGAAATTCCGAGACCTCACAGGGCTATCATTGCAGCTTTGTCCTTTGAGTTTAATTGAGGGCGGTTCAAAATACCTGTAGAAATGAAGATTTTGTAAAATATTAGACGTTGTTTGTGGAATTTAAGGGACATTTGAATGATAACATTTGACTTTTTAAAAAACATTTTCGACTTGTACGGATTCAACGCAAGTCTGCGTGTGCACCAAACCAGGAACTGCCTGCACAAAAATTGAAATGAAACATCAGTTGTTACATTAGCAACCGGTGAGAGTTTCGTATGTACTTGTCAAGAAAAACTACATTATTCCCCACTGCAAAAGACAGGTCAGTTTGAAAGTAGCATGCGGCATTTATATAGGGTCATTTGGTGACTCAGGCAGAGCTATGAGAAATTCTCATTTGAAATTCTGATTAAATATTTTATGTCATATATCATTTTTTTACAATCTTGTGAACATGGTTTGATATTCCCACCTTGTATTCCTTAACTTTGGACTTGTTCATGTCTACCAGAAGCTATCAGATCGAATGGCCTCCTTCCGACAATAGAATCGGGTGAATGCTACTTTGATGGACAAGCAGTCTTACTAGTTGCAAAGCAGAGGAAAATTTGGAACACGGGTAAGAACGAGGAAATAAGGAGAAAAAAAGGGGAGGGGAGAGGCAAAAATTTTAGTTATTTTTCCTTTCTAAGATAAACTCAGATTTAGGTAATGTATTTCCCGACTTCTGAAAATGTGTCACTTTACCTAAATCCACGTACTTACTCTCTCCTTATACCGT